TCGATCCCGTGATTATGTGTGCGTGTTGCGCGTCACTTGCCACAACACCACCTCCGCCCATTTCATCTAGTTGAAGTGAAAAAAATCCTGAAGAGGGCCTCGGGTCCTTCTTTGAGCTCTGCGAGGCTGATATCAGGATTCCCATCGAAGAGAATAGCAGCTTTCAGAGTTCAACTTGTTCGATGTGCTTCGAAGGTCCTTATGGCGAAACTGATTGGAGAAGTTCAAATAGGAATAATTATTTTACTACTGAAAGTTGCATTATCCTCTGCCAATGATAGACTAGTAAGAGGCTTCAGAAAGACTATGTTGCGTCAGGAGTCGGTAGGAGATGGGGAATGAGCTCTGGTCGTTGAGATCACATAGTGGTGGCGTTTCGTCCTCATTGATGATGCTATTTATTAAAACCAGTCGCGCATAGAGTAAAGGTCAAAAAACAATGCACATGACAAGAATCGTTCTCTGAGAACTAGCATCAGCATTCCGTCTGAGTGTTTGATATGTCTTCTCATAATACCTTCAAGGATGACGAGCTGGTATAGTGGCGTGTAGCGCACATTATCATTCGTATGGCTCAGGGATCGGATACCCGATCTGTATTCCCTCAGACTAACGAAGTTGGTTCTCTCCACGGTTGGTTAAGGTGAAAGCGCCTAATCGTACACAGGCTGATGGCCGCAAGCCATTGTATAGGCCACATGCGCATTCAAAACAGTACTACACTTCTTAATGGGAGTTCAGTGTTGAGGCTAAACCTAGAAAAGCAATTAATAAATACCAAAAGACTTCAATGTTTATCCTCTTAACCCATAGGAGGACCACATTATTTTGCGGCGAGTCACTGACGGTAGCTGAAAACTGGTCCATGTAACGTTCCTACGAACTGAGCACTCTGGTGATTCCGGCCATATCCTTCATTCGCCCTTCTGTGTACTGCGCTACTTCTTCAAGGATATAAAATTTAAACTCGAAATAGTAACACTATCGACAGTCCATCATGAAAAAGCCAGAATAAAAGGATAGGTAGGCATTAAGTGACATTAAGTGAGCTTTTCGTGTAATGATACATCTGATGAATGCTTCCTTCCCTGTCGTTATCTATAAGAAACCTAACAAAACTGTCGTTAAGGAAAATATCAGCTGATTCTAGCAATTCTTGAAAGTACTGCCCAAAAAACACCAAGCACATTCAGATTCCACTAAGTCAACACCATTTTGAGAGTAACTTCAGTAACGGTAAAACCTATTGCTGAAATATGCCTTGTTCAGCCACAAGCAATTTCCACAAAATCAGAGTCCCTGCGCTTCCAAAGACCACTTAGAAGAAGTCATTCATACCAATCAATAGCGCTCCTGGAAAAAAGAAATGAATGTCGGGGTGCTTGGCTACATGAAACCCCATCTTTTTCTTACCAATCTTCAGAACTGACTTCAAAGTCAAGTCAGAAGGAAAGCTCAGTAGTTATCTGGACCTTTTCGGGGTGATAAGTTTCTGCAACAGAGCAAGAGCCCACTAGTCCTTCCTTATGCACCTGTATTTATGTCGGTAAAACAGAAGTAATTTCCTAGATTGAGTTTCGTCGCAGCCGATCTCTTCGTTCAGCGTTACCAAAGACTGCGGCTCAAGATTACATTGATGTTCTTGGAAGCCTTTCCTCGACTCACGTCGAGCTCAACAGAAGATCAGTTATAGGATATCATTTCTAAGAGGCTCTCAGGTAGTAGTGTATATGGTAACACAGTTGAAAATGTTTCTTTTGATCGGTCCTGACGCGAACATTCGAGATTGTAGTGTGCTGCCTCATAACTGCTAATTTGCTTTCAGCTCACGTTACCTTACTACAGTATTTCGAAAGGCGGAGGTGGTGTAGTGGCAAGTTGCCACCATTTCACACGCATGGTCAAGGGATCGAATCCCGGATCGATAGGCCAACCAAACCTTCCACACAGCCTTCCATATTCACTACGTCACTACGATTCTGAATGGAATTCAAAGTCGAATGCGATGACGCATCCCTCAGACAAGTTTGATTAACGCTCAACAACTTTATCCTTTATCCTTCAGATTATCTCAATTATCAGAAGTGATCATCCTGAGGAAATGAGAGAATTCAATTGTTTAGCAGAAAAACTTGCGACTATGTTTATGACTTTGTTAAATTACGCAATTCAAGCAGTGTCTCGTGTTTTTTCCAAAGCAAACTCGCAGTTTGAAGGAACTCCCCCTAAATTGATGAAATATGGATCATGAAGCTCGGGCCTGTGAAAGGGCTTAATCTGTGTTCTCAACTGGAATGAAGAATGCGATTCTCTAAGGTATGAAAATGTTCTCGAACACTGGCAACAAACGAATAAACAAACAATTAACTAACCAACATGCAAGCAAGCAAGGGAACAAAAAAACAAACATACATCAACACACACATACACACATATATGCACAAACAAACATGAACTTGCACTTATGCAGGCGAAAATTGATAGAAGCCTTCTCCTCGGAGCACCACAATAGCTCTTAGCAAGAAAAAACGTCACTCGAATTGTTCCATTCGGCGCATCCCCTCACAGTCTGAAAGGCAATAACTTACAAATGCTCCATTCCAGACCGTGAGGGAATGCGCCGATGAGACAATCGAGAGACTTTTTTTCTTGCTAGGCTATTGTGGTGTTTCGATGAAAAGGCTTCTATATCTATTCTTGACTGCATAAGGGCAAATTTATATTCTGCAGTAACTGACGTGCACTCATTATGGTTAACTGTACGTACCCTAATTTATCAACTACCTTTTCATTTGTTAGTTAAAATGGCTTCGACTTATTTTTATGATATCTCGCCAATGAGGATGTGAATCGTTTGCGTCTTTTTGGAAATCCGTGCAAAACCTCTTTTTTTATAATAGGTTATAATGCATAATTAACCTTTTTTCTCTCGATACAATTTGAATATTGAATTCGGGATTTGGTAGAAATAATCTTCTCGCTTTAATTAACAGAATTGTTTCTGGAAAGTCATCTTCATATACGCCAGAAACCTCTTATTTTACAGGGATTGGGTCAAACCTCATTATTAAATCGAGGAAAAGTTCCTTTTCATGGGGGTGGGCGTGGCAGTAACTTTGTGATGTCGCGAATACTGTTATCACTTCTTTTTGATGATTTAACTGAACCTTGCTTAGCTCGTACTTAACCATCTCTTCTATGATGGTTGAGCACACCTAGAATTTCAAAAAGCGTAAGTTGAAAAGCTGACTTAAGGTATGGGTAGCTTTTCCTTCATTTTCAAACAGAAACCTGTCGATACTACCCGTTTTTAGTTGATCATTACCCATTGAAATTTCACCCTTTGGGATTTGTAGTTTCGGTTTTCATGAAGGAACAAAGCAAAACACAAAATTCTGATATTGTGCTAATGTGATTATTTATTTCCTGTACTCATTCCAAACTTTCCTTATAGCTTTCAGAAATATGAATGGACTGGACTGAATGGACTTTGAAGTAATGTCAGCTGCTATTCACAGGTTTTCTTCGTATAGGGTTTTTTCGAATGATTTTGTCGTCTTTTTCAGACTGGCGTGTTTCTCATAAAGAAACGAGTTATGCCGCATCTTAAAGGAAAGCCTTTCTTTGACTTGCAGCTGGTTGCCTCAATAGTTGTTACCGTACTTTATTCATATATTTTGTATTTGATTTTGACATCGAAGTCAGTATATATGAAAGCAGCGTTTTTTCGTATCTTCCTAGTGACAGGTAAGACCATTAGGGGTTCTGATATGCACACACATAAGAATAGGGCTCAGCGTTTACTGAATTGGTTAACAGGCGCCAAGCATTCGTATAGAGCCGATTCGCAGGCGCTTATCAGAAGGAAATTGAGCTGGACAAGGGTGAGCGCACGTATCTCTCGCGAAGAGTTGCTTGTGCATGGCAAAGTCTCATTCAATAGCTTAGCAGCTCCCACAGGGTCACCACCCGCCTCGGGTTCGCGCGGACCGTGAGCCTCCGAAAGGCTGCTGCTGTTCTGTTGATGAAAGATACAGTCCACGATAAAAAATGTTTCTAACAATAAGATGTCCCTTTGGGATAAAACTTTNCCCTCGTATACCATATGTGGCACTGTTAGGTCGGTCGCCTAGGTAGGCCTTTATAAAGTCTCAGAAATTGCACTATGTGTATGCGAGGACGAGTTTCAGCGGCACTGTAGAAGCTGCAACTACTTACAAGGGAACCCACGTACGAAGTTCGAGCAACTTGTTATGATCCATCGCGACAGTGGAATATAAGTCTGGACAGTTTGGCTGAGTGTAGTCAGTTCTTTGTGCAATTACAACAACTGATATCTCGTCCAAATGCCCCTTTCATGTCATTTCCGTTGGGGTAATCTCGTACAACCTCTATTTTCACTACTTTTGAGGTGCCTTCTTTTCACGACATCGGCGAATTTTCTCGATTCCTTCACTGCCGATACACTATTTCCAACAAATACTTCTGCTTTGAACTCTAAAAAAATACCTCAAAATTATCGTGAATTGGGCCTTATAGACGTTGTACGCAAAGCTTGATCCCTCCCTCCAGAAGCAGCTAAGACAGCGAGTGTGAAGCCCATCGAAAACGTTGGTTTTGAGCTTTAATAGAACTTTCTCAAGAGCCATTTGACTTGGAATGAAGAATTTTCTGCCTGAAAGTGGTCATGAAATTTTTAGCGGTGTTTTCAAAAGAACCTTCTCACTTGAAAACATAGACACTAGCTCTCAGACATTGTGCATTACATGCCCTCTATTCGCGTTCGCAGTAATAACTAAAACTGCTGCACTAGGCCCCAATCATCTAGCAGTAAGGTTCTGTTTCGACTTGCACTTCCAGGTATCTGCGATATTCTCGGAATTTTCGCGTTGGAATGGACTCGAGCAGAGTTAAAATCTACTTTCGGTAAGTTCGTGAAAACAGTTCTGACTTTGCTTTTTCCACTGTGCGCTCTTTGAATGATCAATTAGATGACCAAGATGAAGCTAGGTAGAAGTTTCGGGCTGAAGCTTCACCACCACCGACATCAGGGATTCGCACGAATAGGCGGCGCTCTTGCAGGACCAACGTTCGAAAAGATTACTCGCCTAGCAACAACCATGACCGGAATCAACTTTATGACACATATCCTTGGATGTTTCCTGATGACTCTGAACAGGTTCACGGTGGTTTGTTTGCCACATCGACATCGAGATGTGAGCTACACCTTCACTTACTTTGTTCTGTACCAGAGACGAAATTCCAAGTGCTACTTGTGATATGACTTCTGAGCTTTCCAAATTTCAGATTTGGCAAGCATGGAAGCTGAGCATCTATCTTACTATTGCAATCACCATCTCAATTGCAATTCATATCGAAGGTCTCATCGAGAACTTCATCTTTGAAATATCTGCTGACGGAAGATGGATTCGTGTCGGCCGCAGTGGTTCATTAGAGGTAAGGACAGGACCACACTTTGCACTGGAATGATGAAGGTTTATGTCTGAATGTTGCCTATAGGCGTTGATGCTATTCAAACTCCACAGTTACAGTAACAGTTCAGGAAGCTCGAATCACAGCAACTGCTTTGACTTTTGTGTACGAGGTGGTCAGTGTTCTACTTATTTTCTATACTATTCATGTCATAAACAGACAGTTGAGGATTAATGGACGCAAGTTTACACAGGACAAGGTGAGCATTGTGTATGACTTGAATACATATTTTTTTGCTGAGTTATCACTTACGTCTTGTTGTCGTTTCTGCAATACTTTGGACTTATTGTCGTGAAATCTCGAAGCATAGCAGCGCGCTTGATTATTTGCTATCGATTATTGCAATGAGGATCAGACAGCCAACTCATTCCCTACCCAGTATTTGCTATGACTATAGTTTCGCGGAGAGACCATAAAGCCTCTTTAAATGCACAGTTCACGATAATTTTGAGGTACCCTTTCCATTCGAAAAGCGGAAGTATAGATTGGGAACAGCTCATCGGTAGTGAAGAAAGTTAGGAGTTAAATTTTTGCACAAGTAACACAAAGCCTCGTAATCGGAGAGTTCGCAGATTTCAAGAAAAATATGGCTCCTCAAAAGTAGGGAAAATAGAGGTTGGACGAGATGCCAGGACGGATATAACGGATACAGCCACAATGTGATGGGCTGCTGGATATAATTCATACAGTAGAGGCAAGCCTGCCTTTCATAACGCATCACTGTAGCTGCTCCTAGGAAACCACTGACAAAATCTCAGGCTTGAGTTTCTCAAGAAACTCTGCGTGCCGCCGTCGAAGGATGGCCGAA